ACCCTAAACCCCTAAACCCCAACCCGCAAAACACCGTAGAGATGAAGGCCCCGAGATTAAGGGTTTGGGCTTGGAGACTTGGAGAGGTGAGGGGTCTGAAATTTCGTGGGTTTGGGATTTGGTCTTCGTGGGTTTGGGTTGTAGGGAGTTTGGGGTTTAGGAGTTTAGGATTTAGGTTCAAGGCCTTAAGGAGTTAGCGGTTTAGGAGTTTAGGATTTAGGTCGCAAGGATTAAGGGACTTAGGGGTTTGGGAGTTTAGGATTCAGGGACTCAGGGTTCAAGGGACTTGGGGTTCAAGGGATTTGGGTTTCAAGGTACTCCAAGTAACTCGATTTCGTACTTAGCCTCTGTGCAAGCAAAGCAAGTTTGTTAACATCTCTAGCGGCTCTAGCGGATCCAGGAAACAACATGGGCGTCGAATGGCGAGGGCTGCGGCTAGATTGTCTGGTTCGCGTCAACCTAGGACTCGGCATTTTTGAGAGAGCTTTATGCTGTACATGCAAATCAGTAAGCGATCGAAAGAGATGCCGCCACTGATTGTTCCGGCTTGCTCGGTTTTGGACCCCGTGCCCTTGATTGCTACAATGGTCTCTGTACTGGGGTGCTCTTTACTATCCTGCGAAAATTATAACTTTTGGTACCCCTAACATCAAGAAGGCTAATCCTAAAAGTGATAAAGCTATAAAGTGACTGTAAAGTTCAACCAAGTGTACATCGATGCGATGCGTCGTCGGGCTTTCCGGAACTTGTGCCAGCTGAGAAGCCAGGGAACAGGGTCCCAGGGGAGCTCATCTACCCCATGCATTGAGCAAGAGTCCGTACTTGCCCTAACCCCCCAGTTACCTACTATATAGGGTACTAGAGCCCCTAAGGCCCTATATAGTAGGTACCTGGAGGGTTAGGGTTAAGATAGCTCCAAATCCTAAACCCCGAAACCCTGGTAGAGGAGACTCAGAAAGATATGTTGACTTTCCGGATCGGCGTGGCTCTGCCCATAGACGAGAATCCAAGAGTTGCCCGATGGAAACAATATCATCACCGAATGTTGTTCGATTCATGCAACACTCTACTCATGTAGGGGCCCGAATAATTAGAACAGGTTTCTGGGCTGCTTTATAGTAACATTGTAGTAAGGAGCCCTAAGAAACAGTATTGGTATTCATCTAAGCTTCCAAACCCTAAACCCTAAACCCTAAAACCCTGAACCCATCAGCCAGGGCACCGTGTGGCCAGCGCATGATGCAGAAGCGCCCCAGGCAGGCCTCAGCAATGAATCAAACCTAAGCCCCAAACTTCTAGGGTTTAGGGTTTAGGGGCTTGAACCCTAAAGCGTAGTCTACTTGAAGGCTCAGGGTGTTGAGCTTTCCAGGTGTTTGTTGAAGGCTCAGTGAGTAGGTCGAAAGTGGAGGTATCACCAGGATGTCTTCTTTTAGGTCACACGGAACCCAGCTTAACATGGAAATGACTTGCGAAGTCCCATTCGCCTTTAACTAGAGTTGTCATCGGAGCCGAATACGCCGGCTGCCAGCAATCGCCGTGCCCTGCCATGAACACCGGGTATCAATATCTGATCCCATCAACCAGAAGCTGTCGACCGCACAAAGAGGCCCTATATGCGGTAATGAAGCAACATGCCTCAGGTCATATCCAACACTAAAAAAAGATAGTCGTCTTTCTGAACCGGTATTAGGATCCCCGTGGTGAATCCAGCAATATAGTGGCTTTAGCATAGGTGGATCCCGAAATATCAGAACCATTGAGAACCCTAAGAAACTCTAAAACCTCATGTAAAATTCAGTATCAACCACATTCAAAAGCTTCAATCTTGACCCAGACCCCCAAAAGTATCTAAAACATAGATCCCCTAAGGGGGTTCCTATAAAGTACCCTTTAGTAGTTAGGGTCCCTAATTAGGGGATCTATTTTTTAGATCCTTTTGGGGGTCTGGGTACCGATCCAATGAGCGATCCTACACCCACCCTATTCCCCAAACCTTCATAGGTAGTATTAGGAGGGGTACCCCTTAAAGGGTACCCCTTCTGAACCCTACTTTTGGCTCTCTTAACAGGGACCTTATTGAGAGGGTCTATATCCGAAAGGGTCCCCCTAATCCTATTCCCCAAGTAACCGTCAGCTCCAGAGACCCTCCTGCACGATGAAACTCTGACTTCACCCTGCCCATAAGCCCCAAACCCTAACCCTTAAACCCTAAACCCAAGAAGCCCCAAACCCAAGCCTTAAACCCTAAACCCAAGAAGCCCCAAACCGTAAATTCCAGAAGCCCTGAACCCCGCAGGCGCCCAATCCTCCTATGTCCATGTTCCAACTTTCTCGGGTTCACTGTACACAGATAGACCTAATATATAGGTTTAGGGTGTAAGGTTAGGGTATAAGGCCAAAAAGTTTAAAGTTCTCCAAACTCTCAACCCTCAACCCTAAATCCCAAAAGCCCCAAACCCCTCAGCCGCCTAAACCTTAAACCCTAAACCCTCAACCCTCAACCCTAAACCCCAAACCCCTAAGCTGTGTAAACCGAGCAAAATTCAGGACCCCCTGCAGATGTTGTGCTTCCGGGTCGGGGCCGTAGCAAGAAAGACCTGAGTTGGGCTTTTAGGGTTTCGGGGTTTAGGGTATTTAAGGGTTTAGGGGTTTAGGGTGTTTAGGGGCTTAGGGTATTTAAGGGTTTCGGGGTTTAGGGTATTTAAGGCTTTAGGGGTTTAGGGTGTTTAGGGGTTTAGGGGCTTAGGGTATTTAAGGGTTTCGGGGTTTAGGGTATTTAAGGGTTTAAGGGTTTAGGGTGTTTAGGGGTTTAGGGGCTTAGGGTATTTAAGGGTTTCGGGGTTTGGGGTGTTTTGGGGTTTAGGGGTTTAGGGTGTTTAGGGGTTTAGGGGCTTAGGGTATTTAAGGGTTTCGGGGTTTAGGGTATTTAAGGGTTTAGGGTGTTTAGGGGTTTAGGGGCTTAGGGTATTTAAGGGTTTAAGGGTTTAGGGTGCTTAGGGGTTTAGGGGCTTAGGGTATTTAAGGGTTTAGGGGCTTAGGGCTTAGGGTTTAGGGGTTTAGGGGCTTAGGGTTGAGGGGCTTAGGGGTTTATCGGCTTCAGGACATGAGGTTTTAGAGGGGTAGGGCTTAGGATCCATGGATTTTTTTGGGGAATTTAATTTAAGACATAGAGCTTAGAGTGTGTGGACTTAGGGCTAGGGGAGACCGGGTTTCGAACTCCGGGAAGAAAGATTCAGGGCTTGGGATAAAGGGCCTTCAGCCGTTTCCCTAGTTTGGGGTTCTGGGTTAAACCCTGAACCCTAACCCCTAATCCTAAACCCTAAATCCATAAACCCTAATACTAAAACCTAACCTTAAACCCTACACCCTAAACCCCTAAACCCTTTGAAGGAACCCTTACGGGAGTTCCCGAAAACAAAGGGTACCTTATTTTGGGGTCCTTATAACAAGGATCCGACTATTGAGGGTACTATATAAGGGTCCCCTACTTTCGGAAATTTGTATGGGTACTATAGAGTAGGGTATAGGGTTCTATTACGGGGCTCCCTTTAAGGGTACTATCGGGTTTTACTATAGGGTTCCCTCAAAAGACCCCAGGGGTCACTGAAGGACTCCTTGCTCCCCTAAACGAACCCTAGAAGTACCCTTTATGGGTGAGATTGGGAGTCCCCGGCGGAGGCTGTAGGGGGGCTGAGTAGTATGGTTTAAGGTCTCTCTTCCTTAAAGGAAGCCTATCATTGGTACCCTTTTAGGTACCCTTATAAAAAGGAACCCTGTTTCATGCCTTAAGGGCCTCTTCCTACGCCTTAAAGGAAGCCTATCGTTGGTACCCCAGTACATACCCTTATAAAAGGAACCCTGTTTTATGAATCCCATATTAGGGTTTACAAGAATAACCTACAAAAAAATGGGTTTTGGTAGGTTAAGGTAGATAGAGCCCTAAACCCTAAACCCTAAACCCTAAACCGGCTCTTTGGGTTCAAAGGGGCGCAGTATCTGGAACCTAGCGGTTGCAGGGTCGAGGCTTTGGGGGTTCAGGGGACCTAGTACGTAGGGGGTTTGGGTTTAGGGTTTAGGGATTATAAGTACCTTACTTAGGGTTATAGGTAGATGTAACTATAGTTACCTTACTTACAACCCTACTTCCTAAGTCCCCCGATCCTTCCAACCGCATTTTTTAGAGCTCTAGGATGTAAGGCGGAGGGATCGGATGCCGAGTGCCTTTCTGTCGTTTACGGATTGAATATTTCGAAGACTGCGTTCGACAGGGGCTGCTTCTGTAGCTCCGACAACCACAGGTCTTGCTCATGAGAGAATTTAATGCTGGCCTGGCTGGCCTTGTTGCCGGCAGCCCTTTTTGATAAGCCTCGCCGGAAGCCAAACACGACCAAACACCCCGAACCCTATACCCTAGACGACTCCTAAACCCTGAAACCCTTTAACCCAAACCAGGACCCCGATCCCTAAACCTGAAACGATGAACCCGCAGCCCCAAACCCAACGCCCTGAGCTCCGGGCCTAAAAGATGCAGCTGTCGGCGGCAACCCGTACGCCTGAGAGCTCAACACGCACGTATTAAAAAAGGAGCCCAAGTTTTTTTGGAATGGCATAATCTGTCCAGCTCCCTAGTGTAAGATCGGGCTTAAGGTAGGGTTTAGGGTTTCGGGTTTTAGGGTTCTAGGGATTTAGGGTTTTAGGGGCTCTGTTCTTAAGTATCTGTAACATGTTGACATGTTTTAAATTATTTCTGGACTTGGGATGACGGCCTCAGGCTTGGGCTATTTTGGAGGCTGCATGATGACTGAAGACCTCAGCAACGAAGGACCTGCTTTTTTTTAGTTCCTTCGTGTGATTTCCTTGTATGAGTCCTGGCAGCGAAGGTAGGGCCTTCGTAGGTTCAGGTCAGCCGAGGGTTTTTGGGATGAGGGTTTCAGCATTTCAGGGTTCAGGGCTGAGGGATGGCTTGCATGTGGCGTCTGCTGTGTCTATCGGCAAAGGTTGCAAGTGGTTGGGGCTTGGGTTTACAGCTTGGCTGGGACCTTGAGACATAATTGAAAGCATAGTCTAAGGCATCTCGAAAATAGTCAACAACCTCAAAAGCTAAGAGAGCATCCCGCACGAAGAAACAAAGACGTATGTATGATAAAGCATTTATCTTCGATTGCTTCAACACACCTAGTAGTATGCATGCGGCGGTCAGCTGGCATGTGTAAGTAGAAGACTGACATGCTTCTGAGTGAATAGACGAATAACCATATCGCGGAGAGTTACCCTGAAACTGTGCCACCTCGCCGTTCGCACCAGGCCACCCTGAACCCTCATATCCGAAACCCCAATGCCTGGACAATCCTGGGCTGCACATGAGGGGCGACCTATATTTTAGTGAATATGTTACAAACACGCTACTCCACTCATCTACACTTGCAAGAAGCACCTGCAACGAAACCTTGGTTTAGGACAGCACCCGCTTGAGATGGCTGTTGTGAATGCTCCAACAAACACTGCAACACACCCTGCAGCGACTCATTAAATTCCGGTGGCAGTTGCCGTGAGGTTCCTGCACACGCCCACGCCCTGCAGAAGAGTAGCTTGTGATGCCAAACTTTTTGGGTTGTTACCCTTCATCTGAGCGTAGTTCCAGAAAACAAAGCATCCTAATGTAAGCCTCGGCTTCCTCTAAATCTTAAGAATGCCCAATCTGGAGCGACTAACTTAATGACGAGCAGCAATATCTCGTAATAGCCCTCTATAGCCATGCTACAGCATGCCTCCGAAAGCCCTTTGACTCATGAATGTCCCTCTGCTACACTGTGGGAGACCAAACCCAAAAGCCTAAAACCAAAACCCGAAGAAAGAAACCCTAAACCGACGGTTCTTGCAGACGTCTCGCGCGCTTGCTTCCATTCAGGGGTTTAGAAATATTCTATATATTGTACGTAGTAGGTTATAGTAGGTTCTAGTAGATTGTAGTATATTCGGTAGCAAGGGAAAGTAGTCTGAACTCCTGCTCGAAGAACTTAGTTGGAGCTCCGTCACAAGACTTCAGCAAAGCCCAGCATCGCAGGACATAGGAGAGCACTTCAGCATGCGCCCGACCCCTGACATCCCAACCACCCCTTAATTGAGGAATATACCTTAAACTATAGGGGGCGTAATATTCTGGTTTTGAGCTATATTCATTAATTCAGCGGTATTGGGATCTCTGTCATTGACGTCTTGAACCCACAGTCTCAGTTGAAAGCGATTCCATTCACGGTGGCTTCATGGCTAAATGCACAGAGACGCTCTCCAGAATCCACTCGCCAAGCTGCTGCTGTACCGTCCTCAGACGCAGTTGCGACCACGGCTGCCGAAGGATCGAAAGAAGCATCCAGGACACCCCTGGAGTGCTTGAAGGTATGTAGTTGGGCACCTGTCGCGACATCCCAGAGGCCGGCAGAGCCATCGGCGGAAGCCGTGACAACCCGAGTGCCGCTGGGATCGAAACTTACTTTGTAGACGCGGTCCTTGTGTCGAAGAGTGGAAACCTCCTTGCCACTGGCGAGGTCCCAAACCTTCGCAGCATGCTCGTCACCGCCGGTGACTATGTGAGTGCCAGGTGCATTGAAGGCAGCGCTGAAGACCAAGTTGCTGTGCTTTGCAGTGAAAACTTTTGCACCGCTGACAACGTCCCAGACTATGGCGCTTTTGTCAAAGGAGGCTGTGACAACTCTGCTACCAGCTGCATCGAAGGTAGCATTCATGCACCTGTCACGGTGCTTCAGCTTCACGAGCCTGGCTCCCGTGGATACATCCCACACACAAGCTGAACTATCACGAGAAGCAGTGACGAAACGGCTGCTCGACACTTCAAAAGAGGCGTTGTAAACTGCGTGGTCATGCCGAGCAGAAATCACCTTCGACCCATTCGTGGCATCCCATACTGACGCGGTTTTGTCGTCTGAAGCTGTGACAAAAAGAGCGCCCGATGTGTCGAATGCCGCGGAATACACAGAATTGCCGTGTGCAACAGCAGCTAGCTCCTCCCCGGAAGCCGCATCCCAAACCTTCGCCGATCGATCCTGTGATGTCGTCACGACCGACATTCCCGATGGATCGAATGCCGCACTGTTCACTTCAAGATCATGGTCTAAGGTCGCGACCACCGCCCCTGTAGAAATGTCCCAAATGCAGGCTTTTCGGTCATTGGATGCTGTGACGACACAGGTCGACCTCTCCATGAAGCCCAAGAGGAGCCCAAAAAATCCCAAAAAACTATGGGTTTAGGGTTTAGGGTTTAGTGACTGGATCCAAGTAGTTTTGGGGTTCGGGGAGGGCTTGTGGCCTAGGGTTTATGGGTTTAGGGCTTTTGGCTGGCTTTTCGATGGCTAGATAGCTTCATGCGGGCTTCTTGAGCTTGCTTAGTACGGAATGCTCATGGAGCTTAGACAGGCCTTTGGAAAAGTGTCTTGAGGATTTAGGGGCTTGAGGGCTTCGGGGGACGGAGGAAGTAGTTATCTTAGAAAGTTAGATGCATCAACACCCCAATTAGGATACCGTTTAGGGTACTTACAACTCTACTTATTACCTACTTGCAAAGGCCCCCGACCCTCCAAGTAGGGCTTGACGGGTTCGCGGCAGGGCTTACACATCCATGGCACGAAGTAAGGCTCTGACGAGCAAGAGAACGAATGGGGTTTAAAGGTTTAAGGTTTAGGGTTTAGAGTTTGAGGTTTAGGGTTTAGGGTTTGGAGTTTAAGGTTTAGGGTTTAAGGTTTGGGGTTTAGAGTTTAAGGTTTAGGGTTTGAGGTTTAGGGAACCACCTGCCTCAAAACACGAACTCTCTTGAGCCTTGCAATGTTGGCCTGAGACCGACAAACTGGAGAACTTTGCAATGCTGGTACTATACTTAAAGGATCAGGGCACTGAGTAAGTAGGGTTATACGTATCCTTATTGGGGTCATAAGTAGATATGACTATAGTTACCTCACTTACAGCCCTACTTACTAAGTCCGTAGATCCTCTAAGTATGGGTGTTTATCCAAGTTAGGGGTGCGGAAATAAGAGTAGAATTATAGAGGGTTCCTCAAAGGGACCATGATTTTGACAACTATCCATATGGCTCACAATTCTACAGCCTGAATAACCCCGAGCCCTACCTCAAAAACCGCTAAGCCCCGAACCCTAAACCCTAAACCCGAATCCCAAAACCGTGAACTTTTCAGCCTTGTTCAACCAGGAAAATTCTCTGGTAGAAGTCTTCGCCGGGGCGGGCAATAGCCCTCAAACTTGGACACTCTTCGGAACCCTCTTCATCCTCAGCCCTAAAACCTAGACCCCGAAGCCCCTAACCCTGAAACCTGCAAGCTTCCAAATGCCTGCTGCTTGGGCTTCGGGGCTATGGTTAGGCTTGCCCATGGAACCCGAACGCAACAAAGCGAAACACGGATACTGATGGGAAGGCTAGGAATGCACCAAATACGAACAGGATACGGTTTCGGGTCAGATCATAGTACAGGTATGTAAGGAAGAAAAAGGATGAATATTGCTCATTCTTTTGACCCTGTATCAAAAGCCTTATAGAGTCAATGAAAACCCTTGTAAACCTATTGAAACGGTTTTTAAGGGCCTATGCAAGCCCAAAACTACGTTGCTACATTACACCTATCCTAAACCCTAACCCCCAAGCCCTAACCTAAATCCGCATCCCCATAAACCCTGAACCCTAAAACCCTTATAGTAACCCGCATGTCAAAAGAGCCCTTTAAAGGGACCCTATCATAGAACCCTATACTTAGAGGGTCAGGGGACTTAGTAAGTGGGGCTATACCTAAGGTAAGTATAGCTATATCTGCTTCTAGCCCTCATTAAGGTACTTATAACCCTACTTGCTACATCCCCGGAACCTCTAATATCTGCTTATAACCCTACGTGCGAAGTCCCCTGAACCTTTAAGTATAGTAACTACTAAACCCTAAACCCTAAACCCTGAACCCTAAACCCTAAACCCTAAACTCCTAAACCCCTAAAACCCTAAACCCTAAACCCTGAACCCGTAAACCCTAAGCCCTAAA